GCAGAGGCAGAGGCTTGTACATTTGCATTTCAGTGTTGTTTTTTTTTTTTTTTTGGAGGAACTTCCTTTCCTTTTCACTTTTCTCCCCCTGAAGGATCTCTGGTGCCATAGTGCCTAAGGCATTTCACTGATAACCAAAAGGTTGGTGGTTCAAACCCACGAGCAGCTCTGCAGGAGGAAGATGGAAAAATCTACTTCCATAAAGATTTACTGCCTCGAAAACCCAGTGGGGGTTGCTATGAGTCAGAATCGGCTCAATGGCAGTGAGTTTGGTTTGGTTTGTTTTTTCCCCCTAAGTGAGCTGAGTTAGGCAAAATGAAAGCAAGCCTCTTGTTTTGGTTACCAAGTGTCTCTCTGATTGGAATATACCAAAAATGGGTGGTTTTAACAAATAGGAGTTTATTGTCTTACAATTTTGGAGGCTTTAATCCGAGTTCAGACTGCCAGGCTCTAGGGACTGGGAGAAAGCCCCTCAATCTTAGACTTCAGCTATGCCTCCTGCTTCTTCCTGGCCCACTGAAGCTGGATGATTTTCTTCACTCAGACAGCTGCTGGCTGCTGAGGCTGGAAAACTCAAGGTTGACAAGTAGCAAGGCACAGTCCCAATATTACCAAACCACATGGCAGGCCACTAATTGAAGTCCATTAAAAGTCCCAAGATTGGCAGAGCTGCTGAACAACGTCTCAGCTTCATGCAGGGTTCAAGCATGCCGTAAACTAGAGACCACTTCCAAAGCTGCTGCCTATATACGGGAAGCAGATCACATCCCTAAAGCAGCTACTCAGCTGCTTGTGGTAGATCCCACCATGAAGTTGATTGTCAGTCTCATCGTGGGGAATAACTACCACCAGCTGCTCAGCCACTCAACCAGGCCCAGCCAACTTGATTGTTGTTGTTGTTGTTGTTAAGTGCCGTCGAGTCGTTTCCGACTCATAGCAACCCCATGCACAGCAGAACAAAACACTGCCCGATTTCGCGCCAGCCCCACAATCCCTGCTATACTTGAGCCCATCATTGCAGCCACCATATCAATCCATCCCGTTGAAGGCCTCCCCCTCTTTCGTCAACCCTCCACCCTACCAAGCATGACATCCTTCTCCAGGGAATGGTCCCTTCTTACAACATGACCAAAATAGGTGAGACAAAGTCTGGTCATTCTTGCTTCCAAGGAGCATTCTGGCTGCACTTCCTCCAGGACAGATCTGTTAGTTCTTTTAGCAGTCCATGGTACTTTCAGCAACTAACTAGCCAACTTGATACACAACCTTAACTACCACACCTCTTTAGTTAGTCTTTTAGGGAATCTGTACATAGGTCAAGACAAACACAATTCCTTAGGAGAAAGGTCCACTCTGCTCCTGCCAGATCATGGAACTCTTGCATGGAGTTTGGGCTACTGTTTCCAAGACTACAGAAATACCTGGGAAAGGATGAGGCGACTGCGTGTAAAAATGTCCCAAAGCTCTCTGCCATTCTTCAGTCACATTTCTCCTGGTTTACAATTCACTTGGTTGCTGCAAACCTTTGAGTATCTTTCAGAGTTCCAATAAAGGAGATTTGATTGTTTTGCCAGTTATTTTCTGAGTTTTTGAGACAAGGTGGGACCCTAGAGTTACTTACCATGCCAGTTTTATTAATCAGTGATTTTTCAAAACTATTTCATTTTTTCCTTCCCTCATATCTCCATTCATTCTCCACTTTACCATTCCCAGGTTCCATCTTTTATCATGTCTCTATGGTTTTGACAGCAATAGCAGTCTTTTCCTCGCCTTGACTCAGGGTGGCATCCAATGAGACTTGCTGTGGACATTCTTCATCATAAATCCTACTCTGACTCTCCACTGATTTCAGAAATAATCAACTCCACAGCTACAATATAGGGCTTTCCATTTTCCAGCCACTGCCTAACCAACCAGACTCATTTTTTCACTTTTATTGGTCAGATATTAAGAATAATTTGCAATTTCCTAAGCACATTTTAGATTCACATTTTATTCCCTGCTGCCTCTTCCAGGAGTGTTTTCTCCTCTTCTACACCTGGAAGAACTCAAAAACCTCCTTCAAGGCTCAGTATAATGATCAGCTTTCCTATTATGGCATAGTGCCTAAGGCACTTGACTGCTAATCAGAAGACTGGTGGTTCAAACCTACCAGACACTCTTTGGATGTGTTGTGCCCAGATCTTGAGTCCCCAAAAACCACCAAGGAGCCGATTCCACTGCAAAAGCATGTTGTTGTTGTTGTTATTTTTATGTGCCGTCGAGTCGGCCCCGACTCATAGCGACCCCTCCTTGGGTTTCTGAGGCAGTATCACTACGGAAGTAGGATTGCCCAGCCTTCCTTCCGAGGAGTGGCTGGTGGGTTTGAACCACCAGCCTTCTGGTTAGCAGTCAAGTGCTTTAGCCACTATGCTACCAGAGCTCCTTAAGCATAGGGGTTGTTTATTCAAGCTCGAGCTCGGACTGCCAACTGTCACCAACGCAGTGGTTCAGGATTGAGAGCCCCTAACTCAGGGGTAATGGGGTTTTTATAGGGGTACAGCAGGAAGGAGGAAATTTCAATCAGATAATTACAGGATTGGTTGACATTTTCCAAGTTGCTAGTTGTTCCTACTTGATTGGCTCTCTCTGGTGGGCCGAAGCCACCAACTGTCATTTCTAACTACTTGATTGGCTCTGTCTGCTGGGCCAAAGCCACCAACTGTCATTTCTAACTACTTGATTGGTTCTGTCTGGTGGGCCGAAGCCACCAGCTGTGGTTTCTAACTATTTTAGGTAAGGTATTTCTCTACGATTTACTGATTGGTTGTTGCTAAGAATGCTTGAGTATTGATGAGGTGGGGGTAGTCAGGACTCTTTGTGGTTTTTCCAGTAACTAAGGCACTAAAGCGTGGAGTACGTGCTAAGGCATATTGCAAAAATGGCTACATACATACAGAGTGGTTATATAGAAACATGGCCTCACATTCCTCCCTTTCTCTTGCTACTAAACTCAATCATGAGTTTACTGGGTGTCATCATACATTTGATTATAATGTATTGTACTATTATCTAAATCATCTTGGGGGAGTAATTGATATTGTTGCCTGAGGACCATGAGTTGCACAGAGTTTACTCTATCTCTTACAAAGTTGACTAATCTGTTTAGAATACAAGGTCCAACTGTCAGTAAAATTAGTCCTACTATGACTGGTCCTGCAAGGGCAGATAACAAAGATGTTAGCCAAGGAGAAGTATTAAACTAGTTTTCATACCATCCCTGGTTTTGGGCACGCTCTCTTTTTCTTTTTTCTAGTCCTTCTCTTACTTTAGCCATGGAGTTTTTTTATGACTTCCGAGTGGTCTACATACTAACAACATTCTTCCCCTAGAGCAGCACAAACTCCTCCTTGTTGTTGAAAAAGGATATCCATACCTCTTTTTAATTGTAAAGTCATTTCCGCTAATGAGGTTAAGGATTCTTGGAGTTTGGTAATGGATTCTTCCAGTCTTTCTATATCCTGATCAATTGCTGCTCTAAGTGAATTATATTGCTGATGCTGGGTTGTGATAGAAGCAATTCCTCTTCCAGCTCCCGCCAGTCCTAGCCCTAGTAAAACAGTTAAAGTTATAACAGAAACTGGTTCCCGTTTGACTCGGTGAGGAACAGTTTCCCATTTATCTAGGAAATCATCATACTGGTGGTATAATAAATACATGAGGTATTAAGTAGACTAATATAAAAAAGTCTTTAGTTTGATAAGAACCTGCCCATGGAGGCAAGGGGATAATCCCAAGGAACATGCCCACCATCCGTTAGGGGTGGTATATAGTACACAGTTTGATTTATAGTTGTCTCAGTGTGGCTGCAGAGGTGTTTGTGAGTTTGTGGAATCTGTCCTATGCAGGTCCCTATTCCTGTGACAGAAAGTAAGGTGAGTTGTCCAGGTTTCTTATGATTCCATCTACAGGTTTTGTGAGTTTCTGACTGGTTGAATTTTCCTATAAATGCAATACCTTCATAATAGGGGGGTTTGATATTGTAGCACAGCCAGCAGGATTCTGTCAAATTAGATTGGGTTAGATTCAATAGTTGGAAAGTCTGGACCATAATTTTCCAAAGGGGGTCTTCCTGTAAATTCTGAACTGATGTGTTGCCCCTTGAAGTGGTGACGTGGGAGACGAATTTCGGACTGGTGTGTTGCCCCAATTATTGGAGGGTAAAGAGGGTACTGATTGTGGGGCTAACACTGAGTTGGGCCCGATTGCAACAGGGGGTGTCCAGGATTCAATTTTTAGTCTAATATTGAAAATGACTCCATTGTCATACCCTGTTTGGTACAATAGAAGCCCCCAGGATCGGCCTGTCACCCAAGTTTTATACCGTTTTCCCTGCTCTGTAAATCGGATTCTGATAGGATTACAGGTGAAATTCATACACGAGCCCTTTCCTATATACATACTTCCGCCGGCTGGGAACCTCCGCATGAACTTGGATGATCAGCAAGAACTGACGGTTAATCCATCACTGAAATGATTCCTGTCAACTGTGATGAGATCCCAAGTTGAAGAAGGTTCCCAGTAAGTGGTTCCTGTTTTTTCACATCCCCATGTTTTACAATAAAAGTCTGGTGCCCCCGCACACTGGTTCACTAATGTTCTGTCTTTTCCTCCCCCTAGGCAAACGTAAAATGGTAACTTATGGAGTTGGTGGCGGAGTTCAGGGTGCCCATAACCTATTCCCCCGATTCCTCTAGAAGCACATAACCGCTGGCATGTAGGCTTGCCTGAATATTCAGGAGTACCGTTTTTTGGGGGTTCCCAATCTAAGATGTCCCAGGACCCGGCCGCTAATTGGCATAAATCAAAGTGTAGGTCAGGCCACCAGGTATTAGGGGTATGGTTGCCCGTGATAGAGCTGACAACGTCCCCTGTGGCTGATGTAATTATCCAGGTTAATTGTTGGGGGGTGTGTGGGTTAGATGAAGGATTTACATAGTTACTAGTTATTAACAGTAATACTAGTAAGGTCCACATTGCTGAAGTTTTAGTTTGAGCGGATTGTTGGGGTCCTTGGAGACATGCCATGGTGGGTCCTGGTCAGGGACAGGATCGGCTTTGCGGACGTGAGTATGATGAATCCAGAAAGTTATTCCATCAACTTTGAGGGTGGTGGGTGTGGTCAGGATCACAATGTAGGGTCCTTTCCAGCGAGGTTGTAGAGTTTCTTGTCGATGTCTCCGCACATACACCCAATCACCTGGCTGGTACCGGTGAGGTTTGGGAGGGGGATTAGATTGGTAGAGGGCCCTTAAGTTTGGCCAGATGTCCTGTTGGGTTTGTTGCAGGGCTTAAAGAGAATAAAGGAGTTCACAATTATCAATTTCACATAACAAATCAGACTGGAATCTGGGAGTAATAGGTGGAGGTCTACCAAAGACAATTTCAAAAGGTGTCAATCCTAATTTATAAGGAGAGTTGCAGACCTGAAATAGGGCAAAGGGGAGGAGAGTCACCCAGTCTCCGTCAGTCTCTATGGTTAATTTGGTTAAGGTCTCTTTTAGAGTTCTGTTCATTCTTTCTACCTGGCCTGAACTTTGGGGTCTGTAGGTACAATGTAATTTCCAATCAGCCCCAAGAATAGTTGCTAAACCCTGTATTACCTTAGACACAAATGCCAGTCCATTATCTGACCCTATTGTAGTAGGAAAACTATACCTGGGTAGGATGTCTTCTAGTAGTTTCTTGGCTACCATGTGGGCCATTTCTCTCTTGGTGGGGAAGGCTTCTACCCACCCTGAAAAGGTATCTATAAAGACTAATAAATATTTATAGCCGTATTTCCCTGGTTTTACCTCCGTGTAGTCCACTTCCCAGCAAGTCCCTGGTGTGTTGCCTCTTGACCTGGAGCCTAGATTCGGAGGGTTTTTAGTAACATTGGTTAATTGACAGGCTTTACAGTCAGAAACAATTATTTCAATTTTAGATTGAGCATTTTTAATTATTATGTCTGCCCGTTTTAATAACTCCTGCATCTTTTTGGTTCCTAAATGGGTGGTTTGGTGTATTTTGAATAAAATTTCTTCTCCCAGTTTTTCGGGGAGGATGGCTTTGTGATCTGCTGATTTCCACTAGTTGCATACGTACTGAGTTCTGGGTAATTGTTTAATCCATTTCAAGTCTTCCTCCGTGTAGTTGGGGTTTGCAGGTAAGGTGGGACTCCCAGGATCAGGTAGGTTGGAAGTTAATACTAGGTTGGCAGACAGCGCAATTTCTTGGGTGGTTTGGTCTGCTAGATTGTTGCCTCGGGTAATTGGGGTGGTGATTTTCTGGTGCCCCGGACAATGAATGATGGAAAGTTTCTTTGGGAGCCACAGGGCAGCTAGCAGATCTAGGATCTCATTTTTGTTCTTAATTTTCTTTCCTTCCGCAGTTAGTAGCCCCCTTTCCCGATTAATTGCCCCATGAATATGTGCCGTGGTGAAAGCATAATGACTGTCCGTATAAATATTTAACTTTTTGTCTTTTCCCAAAGTTAGGGCTTTGGTCAATGCTATTAGTTCAGCTCATTGGGCCGATGTTCCGGCCGGTAACGGCTCAGCCCAAACTATTGCAGTTTCTGTCACCACTGCCACCCCCACATACCTTTGTCCATCACACACAAAGCTTCTCCCATCCATATACCAGATAACCTCAGCATCTGGTAAGAGGGTGTCTCGTAGGTCAGCTCGGATCCCGTGCGCTTGAGTTAGAATGTCAACACAATTATGGAGCAGAGCACCCAAATCCGGATCCAGTAACAGGGTGGCAGGGTTCAGTGCCGTAGGTGACTGGAAGATAATCTTGATTGGGTTCAGTAACAGTCCTTGGTAGTGGGTGAGCCGTGCATTGCTAAGCCATCAATCAGGAGGTTGCTTAAGAGTTCCTTCTATGGCATGCAGGGTGGTAATATGTAGTTCTTGCCCCAGTGTAAGTTTGCTCACATCTTTGACTATCAAGGCTGTTGCTGCTATTATGGGTAAGCACGGGGGCCACCCCACTGCTACTGGGTCTAATTTTTTTGAGAGATAGGCTACCAGTCTTTTCCAGGGGCCTAGGTGTTGGATTACAACTCCTTTCACTACCCCTTTATTTTCATCAATGTATAGATGGAAGGGTTTTGTTACATCAGGCAGTCCAAGGGCAGGAGCAGGCAGAAGGGCAGTTTTAAGTGAATTAAAGGATTTTTCCATGGCCTCTGTCCACTGAAATTTCTGCCCCTCCTTAGTTGCTTCATAGAGAGGCTTTGCTAGTTCTGAAAAACATGATATCCAAAGTCTACAGTAGCCGGCTGATCCTAGGAACTCCCGCACTCCGTGTGGGGTGCTGGGTCTAGGGATTTTTAGCACAGTCTCTTTGTGGGCCCTAGTCAGCTATCTTTCTCCTTTTAATATGTACCCCAAATAGCTCACCTCGGGCTGGCAAAGTTGAGCCTTTTTGGCTGAGGCTCGGTATCCCATATCTCCTAGTGTTTGGAGCAGGTCTTTTGTTCCTTGGAGGCAGGCCTCGTAGTCTGCTACAGCAACTAGGAGATTATCTACATATTGTAACAGCGTGAGACCGGGGTGTTCAGATCAGAATTTACCCAGGTCTTTGTGTAGCACTTCATCAAAAATTGTGGGCGAAATTTTGAGCCCCTGAGGTAACCTCGTCCAGGTCAGTTGTCTGCTAATGCCATCTGTCGGGTCAGTCCATTCAAAGGCAAACAGGTCCTGGCTCTTTGGGGCCAGTGGTAGACTGAAAAAAGCATCTTTAAGATCTAAGACTGAGTACCACTGGTGATCTGGGGGTAAAGAACTAAGGAGGGTGTATGGGTTAGGGACAGTAGGGTGAATATCCATGACTCGTTTATTGACTTCTCGGAGGTCTTGTACTGGTCTATAGTCATTAGAATGAGGTTTTCAAACAGGGAGTAGGGGAGTGTTCCAGGCGGACTGACAGGGTCGGAGTATTCCTAATTTTAATACGTGCCAGATATGGGGGGTTATGCCCTCCCAGGCTTCTCGTGACATAGGGTACTGGCGGACTCTGACCGGGTCTGCTCCAGGTTTGATTTCTACATAGACTGGTGGCCTGTGTTTAGCTAACCCTACACCTGCAGTCTCAGCCCACACCTTAGGAAAGGCTAATAACCACTGTTCTATATTCTCGGATGGAGAAGGAGGGGGTTGTTGGTGGAGCCTATATTCATCTTCCAGGTTTACAGTTAACACGTGAATAGGCTGGCCCTTACTGTCCATAATGGTTGCCCCTCCGTTTTGAAAGTGAATTTGTGCTCCTATTTTGGTTAGTATATCTCTCCCGAGAAGTGGATAAGGGCATTCTGGAATTACCATGAATGAGTGGAATACCCGTCCCATGCCAAGATCTACTGTTCTTTGGGTAGTCCATGAATATTGATTTGTTCCTGTGGCTCCTTGAACCCAGGAGGTTTTATTAGACAGTTTCCCTTGAGGTTTAAGTAAGACTGAACGTTGTGCCCCGGTGTCCACCAGGAAGTCAATTGGGGTCCCCTCCACTTTAAGAGTTACCCTGGGTTCGGGGAGGGGGACCGAACCCCATTGCCCCTAATCACTGAGTTCCCCCAATTCTAGTACTTTAGGTGGTGGTTTTTGAGTTTTTTTATTTAGGCATTCTTTTGCCCAATGTCCATCTTCCTTGCAATAGGCACACTGATTCTTGCCCAGTTTAGGACGTCCTCCCTTGGGGGGTCCCCCTTACCTCGGTATTTTGCGATTTTCTGCAGTTGCTGTTCTCTTTCTCAGACGCTCCCGGTTGTTGAGGCAAGCAAGATTTTTGCAAGGTTCTGAGTGTTCCGATCACTGGCTGCCACTAGTGCTTTGGCCTGTCGGTCCTCTGGACTTTCTCTGTGATTATAAACTCTCTCTGCAAATAACATTAAGTCCTGAATGCTTTTTTCATTTAATCTGTAAATTTTTTGTAACTTTCTCCTAATGTCTGGGGTTGCTTGATTCACAAAAGCTATGATCAGTGCAGCCCTAGTTTCAGGTGCTTCCAGTTTCATGGGGGTAAATTGACGAACTGCTTCCATTAATCTTTCTAAGAAAGCAGCAGGACTTTCATCCCTCCCTTGCTGAATGTCACCTGCCTTAGCCAAATTGGTGGGCTTCCTTGCGGCTGCCCTGAGACCTCCCATTAGAGTCTGATGGTACACCCGGATTCTCTCCTTACCTTCAGTCATGTCGTAGTCACAATTAGGATGAGTCAAAGGGAAGGTGGCATTAATCACATCTATATTGGTAGTGGGTTGCCTGTTATCTCCCAAAACAGATTTCCAGGCTTCCATCTGGATCCTCTCACGTTCCTTGGTAGTGAATAAAATTTGGAGGAGCTGTTGACAATCGTCCCAGGTAGGCTGATGAGTAAACAAAATAGTCTCTAGGAGGTCAGTTAAATCTCTGGGATTATCTGAGAACTTGGCATTCTGAGTTTTCCAATTGTACAGGTCACTAGTGGCAAAAGGCCAATAGTGAAGCTGCTGGTTGCCGGTTGCTTCTGCGGGCTCTGCAGCTCACAACGGCAAGACCGTGGAATCTGCTGGTCCACTAGAGGGGGCTGCGGGCTGCATTCTTCCATGGGTGCCAGCTGCTGGACCTGTGGCTGCCATTGCCCCGCCGCCGTCCAGCTCTTGGGGTGATGCACCCTCTCCAGCTGCAGTACCTGCTGAAAGGGTTTGGTAAGGAGTTGGGGGAGTTCTTCCTCCGTCCCAACCTGAAAGACTAGGTAGGTCAGTGCCAAAGGTTTGACTTCAGGTTCTTTCTTCCAGGCAGTATGAGGTTGCACTGCCAGGACCAGTTTAGGTGCCTGCTTAGGAAGAGAAAGAGGTAACAATGGCTTTAACCAGGGAGGTGGATTTTCCACTAAATCCTGCCATGTGATAATATATGACCCCTGATCTGGGTGTCCCCTGCTGGACCAGAACACAACTTCTTTCACCTTTAAAATAATCTGAAGATCAAATGTACCTTCAGCTGGCCACCCTACATCGAACGCTGGACATTCCGAGTTGAACAACGTGACAAATTTTCCTTTTTTTATTTCTAAACTTAAGTCATGTGCTCTTTGTCTAACTTCCTTAAAATTATCAGTCAGGAGAGAAAGAGGAGTCATCACAGTTTGTCCCATTTTGTCCATCCACTGATTAAACAAAATTAAGGACACTAACAAAAACCAAACAGACACACAAAAAGACAGACAGAAAATGCCTCCCGTAGATTGGAAGCAAAACTGAAAGTAGGATGACGATCTCACACCGCGCTGCGGGAGCTACCCGCTTCACCCCTTTACAAGTTCCAGATTGGAGGGCAACTTTGTTTCCTCCCAGGTTGAAAGGGTTTTCAAATCCCCTTCCAGAAGAGGTCCTGGAACGTCTTCCAGGTCCTCCGGCTGATGGCCCACCCATGCGTCCACTTAGGCCAAAGTCAGCCCTACAGAAAATGGGCCCCAAGTAATACACATAGGACTCAGACCAACATCAAACATCTGAACACTTACCAGCCAGCTGCAACCCCCTGGTTCAGGAGTCCTGGGGTATCTGGGGATCCCTGACGAGCCCCCAAATGTTGTGCCAAGATCTTGAATCCCCAAAAACCACCAAGGAGCCGATTCCACAGCAAAAGCATGTTGTTGTTGTTGTTGTTGTTATATGCCATCGAGTCAGACCCGACTCATAGCGACCCCTCCTTGGGTTTCCAAGGCAGTATCACTACAGAAGTAGATTGCCCCATCTTTCTTCCGAGGAGTGGCTGGTGGGTTTGAACTGCCAGCCTTCTGGTTAGCAGTCAAGTGCCTTAGCCACTATGCTACCAGAGCAAAAGCATAGGGGTTGTTTATTCAAGCTCGAGCTCAGACCCCCAACCGTCACCAACGCATTGGTTCAGGATTGAGAGCCCCTAACTCAGGGGTAATGGGGTTTTTATAGGGGGTACAGCAGGAAGGAGGAAGTTTCAATCAGAAAATTACAGGATTGGTTGACATTTTCCAAGTTGCTAGTTGTTCCTACTTGATTGGCTCTGTCTGGCGGGCTGATGCCACCAACTCATTTCTAACTACTTGATTGGTTCTGTCTGGTGGGCTGAAGCCACCAACTGTGGTTTCTAAGTATTTTAGGTAAGATATTTCTCTACCATTTACTGATTGGTTGTTGCTAAAGAGACTGCTTGGGTATCAATGGGTGGGGGTAGTCAGGACTCTGTGGTTTTTCCAGTAACTAAGGCACTAAAGCATGGAGTAGGTGCTAAGGCATATTGCAAAAATGGCTACATACATACTGGGTGGTTATATAGAAACATGGACTCACAGATGGGAGATTGGGCAATCTACTTCTGTAGAGATACTGCCTTGGAAACCCAAGGAGGGGTTGCTATGACTCGGATCCAACTCGGCGGCAGTGAGTTTGGATTTTTTTTAACCTTCCCAGGAATAATCCACAAATTTTTAATCAACTCCTTTGCATTTATTTATTTCCATGTCTCTTCCCCTGTTTAGACTGTGAGGTCCTTGAGAGAAAGAACAATGTCTTATTCTTTTCTTCACCCTCAAAACATAGTTTCATGCCCTTTCACAGCAATTACTGAATGAATATTTGTTGACTGACTTACAGAGCAAATGGCTGAATGAGGTTCAGCACATACTTCCAACACAGGGAAAAAGGAGCAGTGAAACAATGTGAAATGCTGTTGAGAGAGGGAAGTACCATGATTGACAGCCAACAATTGGTAGGACACGGGCAATATTTTAGTGCACCCAGAACCTCCCTCCGGAATCAGTAGTGGCACAGTCTTGCTGAGGACACTCTGCAATACTAGAGACGACACCGAAAGAAAGATGCCCTCCTGGGAGGGACTCCATTTGGATTGGAGTTGTACATGGGGCTCTGCCAGTGTCTCCCAAGGGTCAAATCTAGCACAAGTTTCCATTTTGTTTTTCCCTCCTACCTCAAGAACTAAGTCTCTCAGGGGCCAGAGAGATGAAAGAACATGTCATGAATTATGCCCATGGGAATTCACCCCCTAAACATACAGAAATTGTAAATATTCCCACTGTACCACCTCAGAAACAGAAGGAGGGGTTGTTATGAGTCAGAACCAATTTGACGGCAGTGAGTTTAGTTTTTTGGTTTGATACTATCTCAAATCTACTTTCATAATCTCAGGTGGTTGAAAAACATGATTAGGTCTCCTAGAAGGCTTGAGAGGGGCTCTATCTCCCTTCCCTTCTTGCTGTAGAGCTCCTGACTTCATCCATCATCCAAGGAAGAAACTGCATCAGGAACTCAGAGTCCTCCCTGCTAATATCTTGGTAAGCCACAGCAGCTTCCCAGGTGCTGGGGAATGTGGCACAATGCATGGGATACCTTTTGTTGTGAATAACTTTAGGGCCATCAGAAGGGATAGGGATACAAAGTCTTGCTAAGTTAAAGCCCCTGATTCTGGAACCCCTGAAATATTCTCTTTCTCACCTGTAGCTGCAGTGTTGGCTTTCAATCCCTGGATCCCCTTCTCTCGATAGAATTTCACCTTCCTTCACTGATTCTTCTTTTTCCTCTGTTGTTGGAAATATCTGTTTCACCTTGTTGAGCTATTTATTTTTTCAGTCCCTCAATTAACATTTATTCAGAAGCACTGTATGGCAAACTGCATCTGGAACTTAAGAAATTAGTAAACCATTGTTCCTTCTCTCAATGTACTCACAGGCAAAATAAGAAAATGGGAATGGAAATAAGTAAATGTAATGTCCTGAGGTGGCATTGTAATATTGGTCAGTTGGGTTTAAAAGCAGTCAATTTTTCCTTTGGAAGTTACGGAAGGCTTCACAGAGAATCTTACAGTGGTATTGAAACTTAAAGGAAGAGGTGGAATTTCTCTCAGCAGAGAAAGGAGCAAGAGCACATCCAGAAAGTGGCAGAGCAATAGAAAATGCAGAGACTAGTTCAATTGTAGTTGTGTTTGGGAAACTGCAAATAGTTCTTAATATCTGACCAATAGTGAAGGTCACAGGAAAAAGAGTGAAAGCAGAGCTTGACCAGGTGGGCAGCAGCCGGATCACGGAGACCCTTATATTTTGAGTTCAGGTATGCTCTTGAATTCAAAATTAGAGTAGAGTTAATCAGCATAGATGTCAGGGATTGGCCAGTATCCAGATCAGCTAGTAGAAAAGTTATCTCTGGTCAATATGAGGAACAAAATACTATTGCTGTTAAAACCCTACAGAGATGAAGACAGGTGGAAATTGCATAGTAGAAATGGGAGTGGAAAGGTGGGGAATGAATCTGTGAAGATATGAATCATAATAAATCAAAAAATTCACTGATTAATACAAAGACACGGCCAGACAGGTTTATTAATAATTTTATTTAATTCCATCACTTTAATCTAATTCAATCAGTGTATGAAATTCATACCATTATTCCAACTTAATTGATTAAAAATGTGAGTTATGGCAATGATATTGTTTGTCCAAAGAATGTAGTGGTATCTGGAGTCAAGATGAGAGCTTGCTCTATGCGAGGCTATTGCATCTGACTAATATTTTTAATTTTTAGTAAATGTTCATTTCAGAAAATGTTTCTGAAATATTTTCTGCCATTCCATGTGTTGTCTTTTCTGTGGTGGAGCAAATTTTTTTAATTTTGATAAAGTCTAGGTTAACAGTATTTTCTTTGGTGGATTGTGCTTTTGGTTTTACATTTAAAAATTCATCACCACCACCAATGTCAACAGACTTTCTCCTATTTCTTCTAAAAAATACTATAGGTCTGCATTTCACGATGATGTCTATTATCTACTTAGAGTTAATTTTTGTGAAAGGTGAAAAGTGTCTGACTATGTTCCTATTCATATATATAAATATTCAATACCTGGAGCCATTTGTTGGAAAATAAAAGCAAAACTTTATACACACACACACACACACACACACATATGCCTTCTTCATGGAAGATTCTTCCACCTTTGTCAGAGATCACTTGGGTTTATTTCAATGACTCTTTTTCTGGGACCTCTACTCTGTTTATCGCTCTATGTGTCTACTTTGTCAGTATACCATGCTCTCTCAATTACTTTAGACGTATAGTTTTTCTATCAGTCAATATGAGTTCTCCACCTTGACTCTCTTTCTTCAATATTGTGTGGGCTACTGCACATCTTTTGACTTTCCATGTAAGTTTAGAATCAATTTGTTGCCAAGAGTTTGATTTTGATGAGTTTCAATGCATAGATCAAGTTGGGAATAACTGACTTCTTAAAGACACAAGTCTTCCAATCCATCAACATATACTATTTCTTCACTTATTTAGCTCTACTTTGATTTATCTCATCAGAATTTTGTAGTATTCTAGATACAATTTTGGTGCACACTGTTAGGCTTACATCTAAGTATTTATCTCGTAAGAACTACAGACAAAATTCTCCTTGGAAGCAGGGATGGTGAGGTTTCATTTCTTGTACTTTGAACATGTTTCCAGGAGAAACCAGTTCCTGAAAAGGACATCATTATTGGAAAAGTTGAAGGTCAGAAAAAAGAGGGATACCCTTAAGGATATGGACAGACCTTGTGGCTGAAACA